AGTTGATTGCTGTGACCAAGTTACTTCTGATCCTTCAGAATGACAATGGAAATAGATATGATTCTGCCAGTTTACCATATGACAACTATTCGCTTTCGGGAATCCAGTTAGTTGTGGTATTTTGATATATTTCCTACGACTCACCTTCCTTTCTCAGACATGAACTAACTTCCTGTATGCAAGTTTAAGATAAACGAACACTGCAAAGTCGAAAACGTTGTAATATCTATGTGACCAAAAGCCCCACTTGCTGACCGGGGAGTTCCAAAGTCTTTAGGACCTATAGCATGAGAATGTGAAGTGATTTTCAAGCCATGGATGGCAATGTTTCCTTGTTTATTGTGTGTCTGGACAGCATGTATATATAACTTGGTGACCAATATGGATCATAGTGTACACGGGTCATTTGTCGATAACTGGCAAATTCTAAACCATTCAGGTAATTTCCATAGATCATTGTGAAGCTCTCAATTGTCACCATTATTTTCTCGATCACAGTATCTCGATATCGTCAGTATATACTAAGATCGACGATGGTAGAAGATTAGAAAGTTCATTTACATATAAGAGGAATAATGCCACTACCAATACAGTACTCTCAGGCACTTCAGCAAGCACAATCTTCTAGTTAGATGACTTCGAGCGCACTCATAAACTGTGTTAGCACCAGACTACAGTCGTTCATCCATAACAGTAAATAATCTTCAATCTCAATCTCAATTAACCTAAATAACAACCTGTTGTGTGTAACTTTATCTAAATTTATATTAGAGTCGATTAAAGTTACATGAATCTGAAGCTTTCGATGTTCAACAGCAAATCAACCCTCCTCAACCACTATTAGGTTTGTGAGACATTAATATCTTGTTCTAGACCACGTTTTGGTTTTCGGAGAGATTCATACAGACATTTACGTAAATTCTGACGAATAATCTTCCCAGAATCTTAGCAACCACACTGGTTAAGCTTATGGGACAATAGTTCTCAGGTTTATGTCTCTTACATGTTTCGAACAAAAGATTTACCATGATATTCTTCAAGTTGTTTGGTAATCCACTTTCAGTTACAGCTAGATTGAAACAAATACATTAATGATTCGCAATAAATCTTGTTAGTTCCTTCAGTAATCTGGAATATTTTTACCGTGTGCTCCCTGAATACTAGAAGCACTCCTAACATAATCCACACATCCTGGTCTCATTCATCTCTTAAAAGGTGTGGAATTTAGGTTACTGCAAACTTCGTGGTATCACCCTTCTCACTCATCAAACTTCGTACCACTGTTCACAGAGTTGACGATTTCTTTTTCTACACTATCCAGTCATCACTCAGAAGTTTTCAAATAAATTAAAGTGAAAGGACACAGAGGCAAAAACTAACACTGAAAAGTCGTTTGAAAAGCAAAAACGAGCCGTGAAACGTCAAGTACCAAACGTGAAACTGTCAGAAAATCTGTCCTACTCAAAAAATAGCATTTAGTGTTATTACTGACTTGACATGTTAATTTTCCAATTCTACAGGATTATTAGGTTCTTTTGTGTAACTTAAGTGTTCCTTGGCATTGGTCGAGCTGTCACGGTATGACTTTCCTATGTAGAACCCATCACAATCGACACAACGTGGTCTGTAGACACAATGTTGTGTAGAGTTGAACAGGATCTTATCTTTTATTCTGACTATAGGGTTTCTTAAAGTGTTGGTTGTCTTATGGAAAGCTTTAATTTGTAAACTTTACGGATCCGTTGTAATACTTCTGTTGTATCTTGGCGAGAAGCTAACACCATAGTACTAATCTAAGATCGTCCATTAGGATTGTTATTTATAGAATGACGGTTTCGCTTTAATTTGTTTTTAATAATATTCTTAGGAAAATTCTGACGGGCATCAGGACTAGGGAAATTTTCGTACTGAACGGATGTACGGAGTTAAAATCAATATGCGTATTTGAATGTGTCGGTATTCGTTATATGGCTAGATTTAGACTACCATTAGAATTTGTTTTATTTAAACAGTCTAAGAAAGGTTGTTCACTATGTTCATTTTCCTTTTCTAAAGTGGATTTGATGTGAGAGTGTGTTTTTGTGTATGGAGAGATTTCTAAGTGTCTTTATAGTGATGACGAATGTGTCATCCACACATCTGAGGTAGGTGTGTGATCTGATGGTACTGATAAAAATAAGCAAGTTAATATGCGACATAAATTTGTAACAATCGGAGATACTGGAGATCCCGTGGCTACTACATTCATTTGTTTCTACAAAGTCCTTTTGAAAGTGAAAAGTGTTGAACTCAAGCATAGTTTGAATGATTTCATGTTTGAACTGATGCTGAATGGACATCTGCTAGATAAAATATTATCATTCTCTAGCAAACCATCAACGAATTCTAGACATCTATCAGTTAGAATGTTAGTTTATAGAGATACAACATTACACTTGGCCATTGTTTCGTTCTTGTTGATTGATACTAATTCCTTCTGCCTTAAATATGAAAAAGGAATGAATCTGGCCTATTTATCCGAACAACGACGTTTGACCTTATTTATTTCCCACACAATCTACACACACACACACAATTTCAACCCCACTACTTTATATTACAAATGCATACATTTGTCTTAACCACATTCTGACCCAAAAATTAATACAATGACAGGTCATACAAACTCATCTTGACCAAGAATAGCTTGATATTGATATGTCCAAACTTATCATGATTTGGATTGTACTAGAAATATTCCGTATTGTTTCCTTCGTCCTATTTAAACTTGTGTTAACATAATTCGGTTATTTAGTTACTCTGTGGAAGTGGCTTACATTAAGTCACGAAACATCAGAAATACAATTTTCTATTCTTAGTGATATAACAATAATATGTTTAATATTAACCCTCTACCCAATGTTCACTTTATTTGAAACTATGAAGTCCAACCTTGGGTATTGATACCTACCAGTAAAAAACATTTTGTGAGCTAAATGAATTAACATAATTTCCTGATGATACAGACATGTATTTTTATCAATTTAGGTTATGCAACAGTTCTTATTGTCAAAAAATCATGAAATATTATTAGACGGTACGTAGTTTACTTAATTTAACGTTTCGTAAGAAAAAATTATTTTATTTTTTAAAAAATCTCCAGAGATCATACATCAAGAGCACAAACTACACAATCATAGCTTCATTACTTATTCACACTATCATTTGTACCAAGACACAGGACGGGTAATATTCTGGAAATACTTTACAATGACTTAAATGGTACACAAGTTGATGATTTCTAGATGCCAGTTTCACCCTCTTCTCATTTTATTTTCATTTATCTAAGTAGTCACTTTTCGAAAAATGATTTTCCCTCCACTTATCCCAATTTCATTATTCTTGTCATTCAGTTCTAAAGAAAATAAAACATTTTCCTTAAAAAGCCAATTTTGCATATCATAGATACGGAGGTTTTCTACTTTCTTGATTTCTGCTATTCCAACATAACAACTTTTTAGTGTTTAGATCTTATTTTGTCCAAAACCTTCCTGATAACGTAAGGTTTTATATTTTACAACCTGCAGCAAGAACTTTTTTCAGATGTTGTCTTCACAAAACTACGTGACATGAATAGTCGCTGAATCTAATTTAATACACGAAAACTTCTATGTTTAATTTAAAAAATAAGGTATTTATCTTAGTTGTTGATCACTACCCCAATAACTATACAGAAAGTATACATTGACAGCTTACGAAGAGCTAGTCTATATTTTAATGCTTGATATATCGACGCAGTATGTTTTCTATCCAATATTAGTTCAAAAAAATTCTGGAACTTTCTGATATAACCTGTAGAAAATAGCGGTTTCGAAATTCTTTTTATCTGATTGTAACTAAATTATACATATCTATACGTCTTTCATTTCGATTAAAATTAAATTCCTTATTCATTCAGAAGCATTTATCATGTTTCTCGTTAATCGTGTGGGTAACTTATTTTTAATATATTTAAATATTGTAATATACTATTCAGTCCAAAAATAAGTATTTTCATTACTTACGTATAGCAATCACGAAATCCTGCTAAGCACTTTTACAAAACGTAACAATTTATCATTAGGATACAAGCTTAGATACCTTTGTTGCTACCATAGTTTCTTCTTAGTGTGCACTTTGGATAAAAGCGAATCATTTTGTCCAACTTATTTTAATACAAATGTTCTGAGGCACTTTATTTATTGAAGAAGAATTTCACACAACATATGTAAATAAAAATATTTCATAGTTGAATTAATGAGTCAAGTGAAGCTAGACCACCATGGAAAACATGGAAGCTCTGGACGGCCGTCTCGTCCAAGCATGGGACTCCTCAGCAGTGTACATCTACGGTCTCGCCTAGCGAGATTCGAACCCAGGACCTATTAGTCTTGCGCTTAACCTCTAGAAAACTTAGCCGACACCCAGTGGTGTTAATGTCTAACTTCAACCAATTCACGAAATTGCTCCACCGCCCACCATTGTCTTCAGTGAGTTACTATCTCACACAAACCTGGCTTTTCAGGTTAAAAGTAACTGAGAATTATCTTGATTTTATGAAATCTCTTATTATTTTGAAATTTTTCAGTTAAAACGTATATTGATGTAGAATCTATTGCAATACTTCGTATTTTGTGCCAAATATCTCTTACTGTCACTGAACACAGTACAGAGTAATGTGGTGATTACTACTTAATTTGTAAATTTAATCTTGTAGTTTTATGCCAACCAATACATGTAATTCATAACTTTTATTGTTAATAAACAAAATACACCCATTAAGACATTAAATAAGAAAGATTGGTTCAGGGGAGAGCTCTCTTATCGGCGAATTCATTTTCAAAGCTGTACAATCGCAAATATATATACTTATTTTTTCAGGATGTTAATTTTAATAACAATGATAATAAACTCCTGGTAGACATGGTGACAGTGAGGCGGAATAAACAAAGGTATTTTTTTTAAATTTTAAACAGAGAAACTAATAATCGTCTGATTGTTAATGGCTTATATATTCATCAAAAGATAGATAGTGAAATTATCATTGAAAAAGGATGGCTCAGCAAGTTAAGATAAAATGTTGAAATTCAGATTAAATGTAATCAGAAGGATCATAGAAATAGAAACAAACCAGTTATTAACACATGGAAACAACATTCTCCAATTTTAGATCATTTAACGAATACTTGTCATTTTTATTCTCAAAAAAAAAGAAAAAAGAAGTTCATTTTGATTGGTTAACTACTCTATCCAGTTATATAGTGATTTTTTGAAATATAGATACATTTGATCATTACAAGCTGATATAAGTAGTTTTGTTTTAAACATTCATTCATCAATTAAAGTTTCTTTCTGAATAACTAAGTAATTCATGTTATATAAGTGTTTATAGTGTTAGTACAGGATAAATATGATCAGAATTAAAAATACAGACTATAGACTATAGTAATACAAAGTTTATTCTATTGGACAAATGTAAACTAATTCTCTATATTCAAATACATTTTTTTCATACAAAGAAAGGATGCACAAGATGATAGAAAATATGTTGATTGTTTTCAATGTAACAATGAGAATTTTCATTTTACATTTATGTTATGTAGGTAAGTGATTTTGAACTATTTAAAGTAATGAGTGTATTTCTGGACAAAAATTCTTTAAAAGAAAAAGAAAACTCGAACTGATGAATTTTCCTTGTGTATACATTAAACATGATTAATCAGAGTACGAATTTGTTTATTAACTGCAGTTTAAGCTCGACTAACACTTAGATCTATGTAGACTGTTTCAATATTGAAGTTAATCTGAGAATGTTATCCATGTGTCCAAACTCTATTTCTAACACTAGTCACTAGATCGTTAATAACAAAAAAAGTGTATATTTACACTTAGCTGATCATATTTGTTATCACAATCAAAGAGGGGTTTTGTGGATATTATAGTAATTTCAATGATTGAGATCATGAGTCAACTGAAGCTAGACCACTATGGAAAACCTGGATGCACTGGATGGTTGTTTCGTCCTAATGTGAGACTCCTCAGCAGTGCGCACTCACGATCCTGCTCATTTCCATTCCTCAATTAAGCTTATATATATCCTTTACTATATATATGTATCATGTATTCATATCTAATTTCGGTTTCAAAGTAGGATTTTCAATTAAAATTATATGATAATATATTTCAAATGATGGAATATCATTGTTTAAGTCAGTTAGTGATAATGCTCAACAACATGAGTGGGTTATTTATACCAATTACATTAATGCGAACGATAGTAACTTTATTCCCTCTTGTCTATCTATTTGTCATAAATGTTTAACTTCAAATATATTTCTTCGGTTTATTTTTGTTATTAGTTTTGTTGTTTATTGAAATTGTTATTTAAAGTCTTTAATCTTCAATCTGTCCTGAAATGAGAACAATTATTTATACTTATTGTGTATTTTCATGGTTACCACCCAATAATGATGATAGTTTCCGAATGAAATCATAATTTTAGAATTGTGTGAGTAAATATAATTTTGTATAGATTTCTAACGAAACACAAAGGTTCGATGAATCTATTTGATCCAGTATGAATGCCAATGGATTCTGGCACATCAGAAAAGTTCATACACTTCGTTGAACTCCAGCGCACAAATAACATTTAATGACGTCTTAATGTAAATAGGATTCTGCCCTAGTTCTGGCAAACTCCTCTTGTTTAGTAACAAAAGTGACGATTTTACCCTATATCATGTCAGTTCTGCACTATGTAACCACTCAAACAAGTAAATTGATTTGATCTAAAATTTCTTTCCAATAACTGTCATAAATTCAAGTACTGGGTATTTTGTATGTAAAATAAATCATTTAATCAATTTTGAAATTCTCTTTAACTGTGAGTGTTTTGATCTTCAAATACACAGTCCTACTAATCAGCTACTTAAGACATTTTAGCAAACCAGTAGAACAGGTTCAGTAAGAGCTTTAACAAACAAGGTATTGATTCGAAAAGTTCCTAACTGCCGTTTTATGTTATGTAAGCATAAGTTTACTTTTTGATTGATTTTGGTAAAACACCTTGCGTCAACGATATATGATGATCAAATGACTCTAAATAAATTCTTCAGTGCTAAACATTTTATTCATGCTTACGTTTTCATCCCCCTTTTCTTATACTGTATTTCCGTAATTTTCATAATTTTCAAATAAACTGATTTCCAAATGTTCACTATTCTTACCATTGGCTTCTCTTTGATTCATGCATATGAAGTAAGATGGTGTGCATTAAAGTAAATATGTACTAAACCCAATGATATTTTTTGTCTGGCTCACTTTTGAATTATTAGATAGCTGAATTATTAGTTTTTGTAATTGATAAGCTAAAAAAATTTTAAAAACGGTCAAAAAGGGCTGAAAAGCTATCCAAATCCTTTTTTGCATAAATAGTAAAAGTATTAGATCTTATTACTTACTTACGCCTGTTACTCCTCGTGAAGGAACACAGGCCAGTCACCAGCATTCTCCATCCCACCCTGTCCCAAGCAATCCTTTCCAGCTGCTTCCAGTTGTTATTCATTCGTTTCATGTCTGCTTCTATTTCCCGACGTATGTGTTCTTTGGCCTTCCTCTTCTCCGCTTCCCTTCAGGATTCCAAGTTAGGGCTTGCCTCGTGATACAGTTTGATAATTTGCGTAGTGTATTTCCTATCCATTTCCATCGTCTTTTCCTAATTTCTTCTTCAGCCGGAAGCTGGTTTGTTCTCTCTCACAGAAGGCTGTTACTGATGGTATCCGGCCAATGAATGCTGAGTATCTCTCCCAGACAACTATTCATAAATATTTGTACCTTCTTGATTATAGTTTTAGTAGTTCTCGAAGTTTCAGCTCCGTACAGTAAAACTGTTTAGACGTTCATATTTAAGATTCTAACTTTGATATTGGTTGAAAATTGTTTTGAGTTCCATATGTTCTTCAATTGTAAGAATGTGGCCCTTGCTTTGCTAGTCCTCGCCTTTATGTCTGCATTTGATCCCCCTTGTTCAGCGATGATGCTTTCCAGGTATGTGAAGGATTCTACATCTTCCACAGTTTCGCCATCAAGTGTGATTGGATTGCTGTTCTCCGTGTTGTATTTGAGGAACTTGGTTTTCCCCTTGTGTATGTTTTGGCCTACTGATGCAGAGACTGCTGCTACACTGGCTGTCTTTATCTGCATTTGTTTGTGTGTATGAGATAGGAGGGCTTTATTACTTACATACATTATATTATTTATCCAAGAGTACTTGCTATAATAATGATGTGCTATGTATTTATGCATAAAGAGTGGTGTTTATATGTTTATTTAGTAACATTTGAATTTTCTATTGCTGAGAATCCATGTAAACAATTCCCTCATTAGTATAGAATTAATTCAAATTGTATGAAACAATTACTATTCAACTGACTAAGCAGATGTAACTACAATGAGTTCTTTTTTATAAACGAAGTTAAAGAATATGATTAAAAATATATATATTGATTTCATGGATCAGTAATCCAGGCAAGGCTCATTACAACGAAACTAATATACGTTAGTTTCAAATATCAAAGCCGATACGTTTTTTTTTGGATAAATTGTATAAAATATGAAGTTTCAAATCTACATCACTATTAACATCAAGGCATTTGAAGTTCCAAGAATAAAGCGTGTTGAACACCAAAAAAGATTTTTTAACTATCATTGTCATTCGAAAAATCTTTAATGCTATAAATTTTGAACATGTTAAGTAAAAAAATATTATGGTTAACTTTCTATCATTTAAACATATTACATACTACAAACTTTGAGCGGGTTTATGCATAGATAAGTAGTAAGCCCCGAGGATGAAACTTAGGTCGATCAGGTACAACAGAGTGGATGATCGGTCCGATTACTGAGACCACCTAAGTTGGCTAGTAGGGTTGCCCCTACTATCCAGCAGCTCCATGAGGAGGCCTTAGTTCGAATTTCGCTTCCAGGTTTATACATACAATTCCCATTTAAAACGTTTTATACTATTCTCATATTTTGGCCCTGGTACTCATACGACTCATAATGAATGTATTGAATTTTAAATTCTTATACAAATTTTATATAATTATCTAGACAGTGAGCAAATAATTCTAAAACAAATATGAACTAACAACTCTTTTACTTACTGGGGATGTGTAGATCTGACTTAACGACTAACGACAACGACTGTCATAATTTCTAAAATCATAGGCTTGTTTTTCTGTTAAAAACTTCCCAAGATAAAAAATAGATTGATAGTAGCTATCAAATAACGTTTATAGACTAATTTGTCACTAAATATTAGTATGTGTTTTACTGACAAATCCCTAGTTCAAATCGAATCCTTCTAAGTAAATTTGCATTACGGAAATCAGAATGGTTGTGTTCTATTTAATAACAAAACGGTTAAAAATGATAGGTAGATTGGTATTTTCCATCTTAATTTATTCAGTATATTTATATTTGAATCTTTTCCGACACTCTACTAGTATAATATTTAAGCTATTTAAGTCTCCCTGAATAACATTAAAGAGAGATACAGTCGTTCCAACGTTATATCTGGGTAAAAAATTATAAAACTACTCTTACTCAGATAAACAGTGACCTCATAATGGTTAAGTGAGAGAGACCTCATGGCTATTGCATGAATGAAACTATATAAACGAAATTATATTTGCAAACCTACTCGACTTTACAGTAAGTTATATCTATTATTAGTAAACCACAACCATAATTGCAAGCAAATCTATGTCTCACTAAATTATCGTGTTGTCTTCACTATATGGAAAAATCGTCCAAAAAAATAAACCTTTTCCAGTAGATTATCAATCTAAATTCAATAAATCCTTTTAGATCATATTTTGCGAAATAGTGTTACCATTAAGTATAATTGAAACGACTTCTTTATGATGACAAATTGAATTCTATATGAAATATTTCACGTCAATATTTGTTATTATGTATATTTTATGAATCAAACAGTACTGTTACCTCAGAATTTATATTTCTCACAGCAAATACCGATGAATATTTCAGCATGATTCTTGGAATTGGTTCAGTGGCCTTAATTTTAGGTACTGTCTGATACATATTAAATTATCTCGTAGGATTATACTTTGAAGCGATCAGATATACTTTTTCTAAGGAAAATATAGATACATATATGTAGATCAGCTTCTAATAAGATGTTGTTTGCCGTAATATAACACGATTCGAAAAAACTTTCTTACAGGGTATTTTAAAATGGACATTGATAGTGACTCAATGAAGTAAGTAAAAATTAATCGATTAATCGAAGTATATCCGTCCAGTAGCTATGAATTTTTTGTATACATGGGCGTCTTGAGAACTAATGATCAGTTGTAGTGGTCTTCAAAAGAGAGTTATCTTATTTTTTAATTGTCATCTGTATTCTTAAGACTACTATTTATTAGTTTAGAGACAATTATCATGGGAGGAAACATAACTCATCTATATTAGTATAGATTATAATCCCATTTTACATTTACGTTTGAATCAGTGTAATGAAACTTAATTACTTCCGCTTGTTTTTTTTGTTAACTAACATCAACTTATGTAACTGTGT